GGGCCGGGATATGACAATTTGGTATCAGAGCCTAACCCTGGTCGTGGTGTGCCGACGTAGACGTCGGGGCCCTAAGGGGGGTGGATTGTAAGATCCCACATCGCCTATGTGAGTGATCCTTAAATGTATATTCTCATCACTACCTAGCACGAGGCCTTTTAGGAGCTCACAAGCTTCGAGTTCCGTCGGAACTCCGAAGTTAAGCGAGTAGCGCACGAGAGCACTTCCATGATGGGTGATCCACTGGGAAGTTTTTGTGTGAGTAATAAAACTCTCTTTATCAATTAAAATAAGGTAAAAAGACAATTTTATCTTCTATCACAAAACAAAATCATGAACAATAAAGTAAATTCATACAAACTAAATTTTACAGTTTTTTTTTCAAAGTCTCACTCAAGAGTGATCCTAACATCCTCTAATTTAAAAAAATAATATATATAAAAAAAATTTAAAAAAAAACTTCTCTTTCTAATCCACATTCCTTTTTTCTCCCCTTCTCCTTCCCATTTTAAAATAAAAATAAAAATCATTTGGGTTGTTTTATTGGCACCCCACAATCTTATAAATACACCCACACTTAAAATTGTTCTTTTAAATTTCAATTTTAACCCTACTTTTACTGAAGCCATCCCACCTGTTCAAAACAACAATAACATTTCACCTAACTGACATCTTGCTCACCCTCCGCCACTTCGTCGATCCATGCTAGCACTCCATTCCCTCATCTTCCCATCCCCTTTCCCTCCCTGTCATTCTGTGAGGCCTTTAGCAGTTTGCAAAACTTACAATTTCAGACGCCATACTCAAGGATGTCTACTTGATGGCTATGGGTAGGAAAACATATGGAAAGTGCTTCTGTAATATAAGGTCGGCATATGTTTGGGTAACTAAAGTTATCAAGACCATCTTCTTGTAACAATTGAATTATTGAGATCAATGGAATTCATTAATGGTAGTGCATGTTGTTTGGCTGTTTTTGTAAGATCCCACATTGCCCAGGGGAGTGATCCTTAAATGTATATTCTCATCTCTACCTAGCACGAGGCCTTTTGGGAGCTTACTGGCTTCGGGTTCCGTCCGAACTCCGAAGTTAAGCGAGTAGTGCATGAGAGCACTCCTATGATGGATGACCCATTGTGAAGTTCTTGTGTGAATTCCCAGAAACAAAACCGTGAGGGCGTAGTCGGGGCCCAAAGTGGACAATATCATGTTACGGTGGTGAAGCGGGCTCGGGATGTGGTGGACCCCGGGCCGGGATGTGACAATTTGGTATCAGAGCCTAACCCTGGTCGTGGTGTGCCGACGTAGACGTCGGGGCCCTAAGGGGGATGGATTGTAAGATCCCACATCGCCCAGGGGAGTGATCCTTAAATGTATATTCTCATCCCTACTTAGCACGAGGCCTTTTAGGAGCTCACTGGCTTCGAGTTCCGTCGGAACTCCGAAGTTAAGCGAGTAGCGCACGAGAGCACTTCCATGATGGGTGACCCACTGGGAAGTTTTTGTGTGAGTTCCCAGAAACAAAATCATGAGGGCGTAGTCGGGGCCCAAAGCGGACAATATCGTGCTACGGTGGTGGAGCAGGCCCGGGATGTGGTGGACCCCGGGCGGGGATGTGACAGTTTTGAAAGGAATACGTGATGCATTTGTGGGTGCTGGTTTTTTTTTTCTTTTTTCAAATTTAAATTAGGGTAAATGACACACCCTGACCTGGAACGTCCACTAGGACTCCGAATCGAGCTGTACTGGCCGACACCTGGAAGGTGACGAAGCCATAAAGTGTGATGGTGTGGAAAAATGTGAATAAATTTAAACCTAAGCGTGTCTAAATACCAGAGTGCCCTGATGAGCGGGAATGAACCCACTTCACACGTGACATTAGAGCATAAGTAAGTACAGTATGGTGGATAAAGATTATACCCTCAGAAGTAGCCACCTATCCTGAGATTTGTCAAAAATCCTCGTCGATACGAACTTTTAGCAATTAAAACCTGGATGAGCGCAAAACAGAAAGTGTGAGTGGGCAAAAACAAAGTTTTTCAAAAACCATTTCAATTATCAAAGGTAGTAACCCCTCATCGTAAAACCTGTATAATTTTCCAGACAAATAGAATATATACATAACTCAAAACCATGCTCATAAAAGCGATACTCATAAGTATGTCATGCTAAATATCTCAAAATAACATAATAAGTTACTCAGGTGAAATAAACTCATAAGAAATCACATATCAGCTGGATCCACCTAAAGTGGCATGTACGGCTGACCATATAGCTTAACAAGTATACATGCACACGAGTCGGAACCACCCATAGTGGTTTGTACAACAAGACTGGGTGTAAATAAATACGATCACGTGAAGACTGTGCGAATAATCGCGGGTCACCCACGCGTCGGAACCACTTATAGTGATCTGTACAACATGACTGTGTACCTAACTTGGATCTAAGGTGAGCATATGGTGCGGGAAGTGAATATCACGTGAAAGACTGTACCCTCACTAGTATATACTGAAAACCAAAAGCCCACTTACTGGTATATAGTTAGGTCGTAGTCCCCGAGTCTTGTCTGGCTACGCTCGTCCTCTGGAAACGTCTCACCTATATATGTGAAACAACTAATTTAACGTTAATTCAATAGCACATATACAAAACCTGGGATCAATTTCTCATACTTCGCTTAATTAGGGTGTTTGAATATACCATCGTGGCCTACTCAACCTCACGAGCATCCTCATATTTTTAAAATAATTTTTTGACTTAATCTAGTTTAAGTGTAAAACCCAACTTAAAACAAAATGGACTTAATCCATTTTGAATATAAGGCCTAAACCAATTAAATGGCTTAGGTCCAATTTGAAATGGTTTAAAGGTTGGGCTTGCCCAACATATTCTATTTTTTTTTTTCCTTCTTCTTCCTCATTGCGAAAATCTGCACTTTTGCAGTTTGGAACGCAAGACTTCTAGAACTCATTTCGAGCTCGATTCTCAACCAAAATCCATGATTCAAAAGCCTAAGTAAATTTAGGAATGCATGGAATAGATATATACCCATTTGGGGTCGTGAAATAGACAAGGTTCGTCAGAAAAGTGGTCTAAAAGTGGCCAAATGGTCACGGGTCCAAGAATCCCAGAAAACTGGAATTTTTTTTACCGAACTTTCCTAGCTGGTTTCTAGTTCGATACTAAACCAAACTTGATGATTTAAAAGCCATTTTTAAGTTAGAAATGTAGAGAAGAGAATCATACCCTTAAGAGACCCAACGGAGAACCGGAGTTGGTTGGAAATTTGGTCTGAAAATGGTCAAACGACCACTGTTCACTTTCCACAAATCTGGGGAAATTCTTCCCCGAGATGAAATTTGTATTAAATCACCCACAAACCTTCTATTTAAGATTAAAAACATCACTAGGAGTTCAACGTGAGAAGGATTTGAGGTTGGAAATTCCAAACTTACCTTGGTCGAAAGGTTCGAGATTCCGACGAAGTTACCATACGAAAACTACACAATTCCAAAGGATGAGTATGGGGTGTGAGGAAGAAAGGGAGAAATTTTGATAGTTGCAATAGGTGTAAATATGTATGTGCGTGTGTGTGATGTCGGGGACAAGATCACTGAGAGGAGGAGAGGTGCGGGAGAGTGTGAGGGAGAAAAGGAATTTTTTGGAATGAGGGGGGAAAAGGCACGGGGGGAGGGAGTAATAAGGCCCTTAATTCGGCCATTGAGTTAAGATCCTAAAAATGGGTCCAAAGAAGAAATAACCAACCCGAAATATAGAATCACACCCATACTCGTTATTAATTCATGTCGACGTGCTCGTGATGTCGAGCACCATTTAATTTTGCGAACAAGGGAATAATTTAAAACTATATATGTCCATCCACGTCACTAAATCACGAGGGCATTATTGTCAATTTACATGCTCGGTGATAAAATATATACCTTGATTTAGGACGAGCTGTAACAGTAAAAGAGGTAGTTCAACAAGAATTAAAAAAAATGGGGTGTTAATAAAAAAAACTCAATCATTTTCACACACAAAATGTGGTGCATATGCTAGTTTTCTATTGGTGACATATCACTTGATTTACAAATTTTATTTATAAATTTAATCTTTATAGCATTACTCTTATTTTTATAGCTACTCTTGGTATCCCAATTTATCTTTTACACTCTAATACTCAATATTGTCTCACTTTGATAATCGAACCCTTTCTTAGTGTTGCACTTTATTTTATTTCGTCAATAAGTTAAGAGAGCTATTAATTTTACTGACATAGCATAGATAATTTAGTCTTTTCAACTATATTAGTGGATTAAATCTTTGTAAAAGATGGGAAAACTTTGAAATTGACACACGAATCTTAATATTCAACCTTCCATTCTTCCTTTTTGCTCTTGGTCGTGAGAAACCAAACTCTAATTTGAGTCCAACCTACGTCCCATTACACATGGTACCACTAACATAACATATCATATGTCACATAGCCAACTTAGTTTTAAAATTACTAAATTATTCATATCACGTCAGCACAATTAACTAGTCTTTAACTTATTTGATGGAATATGTTAAAGCAAGAAATGGAGGAATAGTGCAAGTGTTAAAAGTGTGATAATATAGAGTCTAAGGGTTAAGTGGACACGGTGGACGAGTACATGTGGTAAAGTGAGACTATATAAAATGTAGAGGGTAAAATAAGATTTAGGGAAGAGTCATGTGTCATAGTTAAAAGTAAGCCTTAAAAAAATATATTGAAATTGTTTGTGAAAGAAGCATCTAGCATGTGCTTCTCCATAAAACGTTTTTTATAATTTGGAAACACTTCGATTTGTTGTGTGAAACGTAATTAAAAGTGTTGTTAGTTATAAAAAATCGCTTTTACTTTGAAACACCGTATAAAATCATTTTTTTAACACCAAAAGATGGTACATTCAAACATATATATATAACTTAAATATTTTGGGAACCATGTACATCCTCAACTAACATGAAGAAAAGATTGAAAGAAGATGCCTTTTTATTATCAAAATCATATATACAAAACAAATTTGGGGTAATCATCTCATAATATATACAATTTGATACTCACAAATTAAACTCAACAAATTACAAGCTTATACAAAATTAACACACTACAAAAAAGGAACCCTGAAAGATTCTTCCAAGAAGTTGGGGACACAATTTTTCTGAGGATATATCACACTGGAGAGGCAGAGGTCGTACTTAAACCAAATTTATCTGAGAGCTTTGTTCTTGTAAATGGAGAGAGAAGCTCCATCTGATGGAGGAACTGCACATCATGAACCAAAGGGTTGTGTGTTCTTCCTGGTGGAGAGCCTGAGTAGCACGCCGGTGAGCATTTCGTGCACACATATTCCCTTCCGTCAAATATTTCCTGCACAATTTCAATTCGAAAAACACGAGATGATACTCATTTGGTCACAAACGAAATTATGGGTTCAAATTTAGGGCTTGTTTGGGGTTGGCTATTTAAGAAGTACCTTTGTTATAAGAGTTTTTTTTTTTTTTAAAGATGTGCTTTTATTAAAAATACGTTGAATTTTTTATTAAAATTTTGTGTTTTTTGAAAAAAAACACCTGAAAGTGCTTTCTAATAATGGTTTTTTTTCATAAAATGTTTTTGAAGTTCCAAAATACTTTTAAATTTTTCGGTCCAGCACTAACAAAAACATTTTTAGCCTTTTGAAAAGCATTCTCAAATAAACAAAGTATGACCGACAACGGTTGAAAAGCAAAATTAAAATAAAAGCGCATGAATGCTAACCTTTTCACTGATCATATTCAGAACCCCACTTCTCTCATCGGAAATTTTTTGGCTGGTCACAAAAAATAAGCACAAGAGCTGCATAAGTTGGTATTTACATCTTCAAAACACATGAATTTAAGTAGGTAGTGATTTTCGAACTATCATGTTTTCTCTATCTGAACTCCTCTCTTTGTTTTCGCCCTTAATTTATTAAATCTAAAAGCTAAAACAAAAGGAGTGCACGGGAAAAAAAAAGAGTGCGAAAATCACTATCATTTAAAATTGGCCCAAAAGAAAAAGAAGAAAACCCTAATGAAACCTGTGATTGTTACATCTTATAGGGTTGAGGAATTCAGGCATGGCAGGGCCAACTCTTCGAGGCTTAGGGCAAAGAGGCTGGGCATTGCCGGCAGAGTTTGCCTGTGCAGCAGAACCAGAACCCAGAAGAAGATTGCTGCTTTTCTTCACACCTAATTGGTGCATAGTTTTTTTCAACAAAAAACAAAACAAACAAGAAGAAGGAAGAAAGAAAATCAAAGTCACAAGTAGAAGAAAAAGAAACGATTAACTTGTGACTGCAAAACTTTCAACTGTTGCCTTATTTACTTACGCTCATTGAAATGGTAATTAATATATAAGAACCTGCCCCTTTTATTTAAATATTAGCCACACATTTAAGAAACAGAGGAGAGAGAGAGAGGAGAGAGAAAGAGAGGGAGAGAGAGATGAGTGAGAAACTAGTGAGAAGTGGAACCACATTTTGGTTGGAGACTTTGTTCAACTGTGCAAGTATAGGAGGAGTAGAGGCTTGGCCAAGAGTGGAGTTAGGGTAAGTCTTGGCTTTTGATCTCCTAATATTCCTCAATCTCCCTTCTTTCTCTACGGTTTTCTTGCTGCTCTATCCCCATGATACTGAACCATTCTTTTTCTCATCCAATTTTTATCATCATATCAATATTATCTGGAACCCTTTCTGGCAAAACTCCATGAAGTTTTGGTGTCCATCTTATCCCTATGGTCGTTTCCCCAACTTTCAGCTTTGGTGGGCTAAAATTAGATTATCGTCGTGAGTTTGTTTTGAAGTTCTTTTTCTCATTAAAAAATAATAATAAAATAAATTGTGGCAAAATCACAATGACAATCGACTAAATTATGACAACATCTTAAATCAATTATACAATGTCACGTGTTTTAATTTTCTCAAGTAGTACTACGTTATTGATTTGTAATATCTACGATAGCGTACCATGCGTAGGTAAGTCCTCACTCAAAAGATCAATGGGACATGAATATCAGAGAGAATCCATTTTTTCTTCATAGAAGTGGCAATATGGACAATAATTACTGTGCAAAGTTACATGTCAACCGAAGGTGAATCATGAATAATATGTATCCCAGTCAAATCTGGGCTGTGAATACACCTCATAGTCAATAGGCCCATCAACAACAGTGTCTACAGTTTGTATGCCTTCCAAGAGAGCTGGATGAAGACTATCATTCTGGGAAGGCAGCAATTTATACATTACTAGTACCCCAAGTGTAAATATAGCTTGCAGCTTCGTTGAGTCTCCATGGACCGAAAAGAACAGCAGCATTGCAAGAAGGAACAGATCGACACAAAAACGCATGATGCACAATACTGTATCCATCAACTTCCCATCATTCCCAGCAGGAAAGCCACGGACCCTATAGACAAAGAGGAAGTTGTACTTATCGACCACGTACCTATACCCAAAATAAATAGCACCGACGGGAACCACAAGCGGAGAGAAGGAAGAATATATAAAGGTTAGGGCGAATATCGTCAAATTAAAGGCATAATATTGGGCAAAATCGAATGTCTGTTTTGGGGCTGTTGATGTTCTGTTGATTGGGTAATCAGAAAGATCATTTCCCTGCAGATAAATTCCATACGATCTGGGAGAATCGTTAGTGGTGTCCACAATCAAGGGCCTTTCTAGACTATCGGTTTCCTGAGTTTCCAATGCATATTCTTCACTTTGTTCCGGGACCAGCTGTAGCATGTCATTCTTTCGAAACTTCTGAATCTTCCTTTTTATCCAAGGGATTGGAGCCAATAGATCATAAGATATACCCAGGAATGTACTCGTTATCAAGAATGCAAGAGAGGAAAGACATGATCTTGACAAAAACGAGGCACTCATGTACTGCTCAATTCTCTTGCAATCTTCTCCATCCAAATAGCACCTTCCCATTTTTAAGATGGCACTCTCTAAAGATGATTCAACCAGTCCCTTAAGTATAAGATTCACCAGGAAGAAACAAACCATCTTAAGAAGAGCAGCTCTTTGCTCCCCTGACACTGTAAGGTGTCGCTCGAACTTGGAGAGATATGAAAGTGCTGATGGAATAACTATATACATGCTGACAAAAATAAACACATTGGGTAGAAACTGAAAGATAAGACTCCCGAGCCAGCTTGAGCTCTGCACCCAAGCAAACCACAACTGGGCATTATCCATAGCTTCTGCATTTATAATCCGCCAGGCATTTTTTAGAGCACTGATAATTGCCAGAGGAGAGCTAAAGAACAGAAGAATCAACAGCAAGCACGTGTTCACCAACACTCTTCGTAATTTCAGTGAGAGCTTTGAAGACCCCAAATGATTCCAATAAATATCTGTGGCCAAGGGTGCCTGCTCTACTTTCCATTGGTTTCTCTGTAAACGCAATTCCACAAGAGAAAAAAACTTCCCTATCCGCTTCTTCTTCTCATGTTGAAAGTCCTGAACAGCTTTATTTGCAGTGTATACATCCTTAAACACCACACGCAACTCCAGCACCCAGTGCATGACCTTCTTTGTAAGCAGCTAGTTCAGTCTCCAATTCAGCTCTCAATCCCTGCAACTCTCCTAACTTCCTTTCATCAGTGTATCCCAACCTAGCCAGAGTATTATACCAGAAATCTTCCACCTTATGCCATAAATTACAAGCACAGCCCCATACCCCCTCTGAAGAAGTCCTTACATATCCATCCTCTTCACTTTCAAACGGCAAGAGCCGGGAGTCAATTCGTGCAACCAACCAAGAAATTTCATGCCTAACCCTCACTAATTCCGAGGCTAATTCATCCAACGCACACAAATCCATCGGCATTATAACCCTATAGACCTTGCCTGGATACCTATGTTGAAAATACTCATGCAACACAGTCCTATCATTACCTATAGTTTTCGGTATCCCCTGCACCATTATAGTAAAAATAGCCGTGGAATTCACGGTTGGGTCACTCAAATTGCCATTTCCATCCCTAATCCTAGTGATTCTCAATCTCCCTTCAATGGCAGAAATACTAAAATGCACCAAAACAACAACAACAACCACGAAAACGAAATGCACCCAAAGCAAAGCCGAACCTCTCTCGATGTGAATGATGGTCGTCTTTGAAAACTGATCCCCGAGCACAGCACTCCCGGCGTAGAGATTCAGCGGAAGCATCACAAGCACAGCCAAAACCGCCATCGACAACAGCAACCCGCAGCTTCCACCCTCGATCAAGAGAAATTGGGCGGCGTCAGCGCCGCAGTGGCGCGCAATCTCTCGACAGGTAGCGTGCCACACAGCGAGGAGCTTGGCGACGAGTGCGGACGGGCCGGGCATGCGGCGGTGGTCGCTGCGGAGCTTGACGAAGATGAAGAAGAAGACACAGAAGAAGGAGCCGATGGCGGAGATGTTGAGAAGGTACTGTATGTTCCCGTACCAGGCCTCGTAGGTATCGGCGCCGTCGCCGGGCGACGGCGGAGGAGAGAGAGTGTCGTTCATGGAGGGGATGGGGGAGAAGGCTAAAGATTGATAAGGTGTGGGCAACGGAGGCGTGGGAAATCTAGGGATTGAAGAACCAGAATTTGGGGTTTCTCTGGTGGGATTTGAGGTAATTGGGATTGAATTGGACTGGGATTTTCTTCATGTGGCGGAGGAATTAGGGTTTGGGTTGAGGGGTTTTGGGGGGGGGGGGGTGCAGGGAGGGAATTTGGGGTTGTGGGGAATAAAAGGAAGATGCTGGGATTTTTCGGAGCAGTGTACACTGATGGAAGGGGAATAAATGCCCAAAAATAAATAAATTATAACAAGTAGTATAGTTTTCTTCTTCCAAATATGAATAGGAGAGGATTATAAAACAATTTAGTTTTAATGCATAGTTAAGTTAAATTAGGCTAAGCTTTCTTAACCAACAAGAAACTAAGGGCATGTTTGGTATCATATTGAAATTTTGTATCATTTCTCAAAACATTTCTTAAAAACATTTCTTGAAAACAATTTTCTTTAAAACTCAAAAACTTAATTGGCTTGCGATTTAAAATTTTTAAATCTTACGACTTAAACTAGACAAAGAGATCTAAAAAGAGGGGTCGCAGGATATAGAGAAAGAGGAGAGAGAAAGAAAGAAAGTAAGAGATAATTAAATAAAATAGAAAGAAGAGAGAGGATCGGACGAGATAGAGAGATAGAGGAGTAAGAGAAATAGCCGAAAGAATAATGAGAGCGGATTGGAGAAGAGACAAAAAGGGTAAAAAACAAAAGAGGGGAGAGAAAAAAGAAGAGAGATATTTGGAGTGAAAGGGGAGGGAAAGAAAAGAAAGGAGTGGTTTAAGTTTAAAGAGTAAATTGTAGCAATGGTCCCTTAACTTTAATCAAATTGGAGCAATGGTCCATCAACTAAAAATTCATTACCATTGGTCCCTCAACTTATCAAAATGTGTAGTTATAGTCCTTTTCATCAATTTCGTAAAAATTTTGTCAAAAATAAGTTGTGTTGGAATGACCATTTATACAATTAGGGTCCCTCAACTTATCAAAGTGTGTAATTATGATCATTTTCGTCAACTACATCAAAAAATTTGACAAAACGAGTTATGTTGGAAGGACCATTGCTACAATTGGGTTAAAGTTAAGAGATCATTTCTCTAGTTGAATTAAAGTTGAGGGACCAATGGTAATAGATTTTTAGTTGAGGAACCATAGCTGCACGTTTTGATGAGTTGAGGGACCAATGGTAAGGCCATCTCCAACCGAGGGCTGGCCAGAGGGCTCGTTTAAGCCCTCTGGCCCTCCAAGATTCCTCAAGATATTAATATTTTAATGAACAGTACAGGGCCATATTTGCCTCCGTCTCCAACCGAGGGCCAGAGGGCCAAATGGCTCGTTTTAGCCCTGTCACAAAAAATCGTCTCCAACCGAGGGCCAAAGGGCCATAGGTCCAAACATAATTTATTATTTAAAAACTACAATTTAAATTCAAATCTAACGGCTAGGTGACGTCAACATGATGTCAGCTAGCCGTTGGTAGCTGACGTCAGCTAGCTGTTGGATTTAAATTTTTTTTGCTATAAATAGGGTGGATATTGGGCTATAATTCACACAACTTTAAATTCAATCTATTTCAATTCAATCTCTTTCAATTCAAGTTTGCAATGAATTCCAACTTTGGATCTTCATCCAATTCCAATTGGGGGTCCTCATCCAATTCCAAATTGGAAGCAAAATGGGCGCAAATGAGACGAGAAGATGAGGAGTCAGATGAAGAAGTTCAAGTAAGGCGCAACACACAAAACATGGCAGCAGCCATGGCTGCGGCCATGGTGTGTCAGCCAACTGAGGAACAACCTCAATGGGGTGGCTCTGTTGCTGGTCGCTCTTACAAACCACGAAACAGAGCGATGACGCATGCCAATCTGATGAACAACTACTTCAACCCCGACTCGGTGTACACAGAAGAGGATTTCAGACGTTGCTTCCGGATGAGGCGTCATGTCTTCGAGCGTTTACTTCGTGATGTCCAGCAGGTCAATCCATACTTTCGACAGAAGCGGGACAGAGCAGGCCGCCCTGGTTTCTCACCTCATCAGAAGGTTACTGTTGCACTCTGAATGATGGCATATGGCTCTTCAGCTGATTCGATGGATGAAACCCATGGTATGTCTGAGTCTACATGCCTTGATACTCTTGAAGAATTTTGTAACACAATTGTTCAGGTTTACAAAGACGAGTACCTCCGAGAGCCAAA